TGCTTTGAATACCAAAAAAAATGGACTCAGGAAAACATTAAAAACCTTTTTTAATATTATAATAAAATAATATATATATATATATATATATATAAACTTAATATTATATATATATACATATATAATTATAAAAAACTTAAAAAAACATTTTATAAATAACAATGTATCATTTATAGATGTCTACTTTGAATACCTCTACAATTTTAATGTTTTAGTATTGGGTTGTCTAATGTATTAGTACCGGATTGGAGATGAAAACAATTCATTTTAATGTTTGAGATGAGAATACCTCCTATTCACTTCAAATAACGTTTGATTTTTCCTTCTATTTGTCAGTTAACAAATTTTATAGCTTAATTTTTAAATCAAATTATCTCAAAATAACTCATATTTAGTTAAACTAGGAGGGTATTTGTATAATATAACGAGATGCATTTTAATTTTAATGTTCTTTTTAATTTTTTATCTTTATTGATATAATACAATTTTAGGTGGGTTTGAGAAAATGATAATGTTTTTATTTTTAAATAAAATATAAATCTGAAAATAGCATAAAAATTTGAAAAATTATAAGAATTTCATCAAAAAGGCCAGAAAATATCCGATATATATTAACAAAATAGCTATTTTTTTTTCTTCATGTTTTACCAAAATAATCACACCCAAAGCGTACATAAAAAATATTTTAAATTGATTTGGAGGGTCCATATGTATTTGATTTTTGGGGTCCAACATCTGATATGTCCTAAATAGTAGGGTCGTCCCCACCTATCCTAGGATCTTCCCCTATGGGCGATCCGGCTTCAAACTTCAACTACTATTTTGTTTTTTAGTTTACAAATATCACTATATATAGTTTGTGATCTCTCATTCATTTCCTTCACTCATCATTTCTACTTTCATATCTTTTAAATTGACAAAAGGAAAAAATGATCTACTCTCACAACCTTAATCCTTAAACACAATATATCATAACAACATTTAACTCATTAAACACAATCTACCATCACAATCTTTCACCCTTAAACACAAATATGCAATCACTTCGGAGTGATAATGTTTCCGTGTATGTTCAAAGTGGCGGTTCATTCCAGGAGATAAATGATGCCTTAGGGGTTGTTTACCAAGTTTTCTATTAAGTCCTATATGGATAAATTTGTCTATTTGGATAAACTTATGTTGTTGTTTACTTTTCTATCTGAATCAACAGTCTAAGTAACAAAAATGACCAATTTACCCCTAAGGATGAACTATGCGCTGTTTAATAAATTGTTGTTCATTTTTAAGGCAAATGATATTTTTGAAAAATAAAATATTTAATTATCAAACAAAAATTTATAAATTCATTTATATCATCTAAAGATCAAGACATAAATTCATTGATATCATCCGAAAATTAAAACATAAATTCATAAAATACTTAAAAATCCAAGTTCAAACATAAAGTAGCCAAGTTCAAATCCAAGTTCAAACACAAAAATCCAAACTCAAACATTGTTGACCAAACTATTTGCAATTCATCTCTCAAAGTAGCCATATATTGAATGTTATTAGCACCCTATTGGGAAATGTCCGGTTATTCTTCTCTATTTCCTTCGACTTCTTCTTCGTTGTTAAATATACTATCCTCATTGCACTCCATAAACAACTGATCTTGAATATTATATTTTATGATGAAATTATGTATCGCAAAGCAAGCAATTACCACATTTCTTTGTGTTGTAAATGGAAAGGGAGCCATCTGCTTGGGTTAACCAGATCTTGGGTTAAAAACAACTTCTCTAAGTATTCTAGAATCATGCGCTATACCTTCCCATCCAACTCAAACAAAAGTGAATATCATGTTGAAATCACAAATTCCTAGAACATTTTGATAGCATCACCGCCTCCTCCTCCCCTGTAAGCAGTTTGATGACTAGCTGGCACAATTGCATGTATAAGGGTACCGTCTAGAGCACCTATTGCACCCTTCATTAACAGAAAAAAGATTAAATACATGTATTTATGTTTGTGTGTGTGTGTATGTTGATATAAAGCTTTAAAACGCCAATAATAAGTCTTATCGAAAATATTTCTCTCAAACGCCTTTGATGACTCGACGTATTTAAAGTTGTATCAGAAGTTGTTGGCATCACTATTTCTCTTGTGAATTCCATCATACCCAGTAAAACTTCACGGAAACTATTATAACCAGGTTTTCTGCAAACCTGGGTCAAGGTAACCTTATGTGTTTATTATATGAATTATGTGATAGCATGCACGTTGATCTAAACCTTGATCTAAATACATGAATTATGTGCATATATATGAAAAGGTGACAAGATGCATACACGATTTTATATTGGCATATATATGTGATATGGAGCACATATAAGGATTGAAATATTTTATGAAGATGAGATATCTTCATTGTTAAGAAAAAGGATTTTAAAAACAATATCCTTCACCGCCCAAACCATATTAAAATAATAAAATCCCCCACCGCCTTTGAAAGGATATTTAAAGAAAGAAAAAGATAAGATTTCATCTTATTACTTTATCTTTTGGAAAAGAAACCTGTTGAGAGAAAGAAAAGAGTGTTGTGGCGGTGAAAAGTGTTCTTGAAAAACTTGTGAATTACCGTGTATTATTACTTGCAGAATCTGTGATTTTAAGGTGAGTTTTTGAATTACTATTTGTTTACAAACTATGAGTTTTAATCTATTGTTTGAACTTATAAACTGTTGGGTATTGATGGTTTGAGATTTAAAAAGAATTTAGTAAAACTATTTTAAACAGTTTTAAAAGAAATGTTTTATGATTCTGAAATGAGAATCTGTTTTGAAAAGATTAAGGCAGAAATTGTTCTTTAAAAACAGTTTTGGGAATAATACCCTATTTTGAGGATTTAAGAGGATTAGATGATTTGAGAAAACATTTACATAACAGATTGTTCTTGAGGCTTAAAAAGGGTTTTTGAATATAAACCTATTTCAAGACCATGATTGCTTAAAACTATGAACGGGGTTCATTCTGACAGAAATGACTGCAGCCTGTCTTTGGATGAAATAGTTTATATGAATTTCAGGGGAAATAAGGACGGTCGTTGTGTGTATGATGGATATAGCTGTTGCTATTAAGGGGAATTTTGGGATGTAATAAGGATGGTCGTTGTGTGTGTGCATGGTATAACTATTGCTATTATATCTTTTAAGATTACAACAGATTGGAGTTCTCACTTCTTGGTGATTTGAGAATTTAGAGATGTTGTTCTTATTAGAAATAATAGTATTGATGTTATGGTTACGGGAAAATATGACTTATGGTCATTAGTTTTGGTTAAAAGCGTTTGGAACAGAATGTTCATTTTTATGAGGAACCAGAGGAGCTCTGGTTGGTCCTCACTATAGAACCAGAGGATTCTGGTTATGGATTTGAGAAATGAACAAGTTCTTACTAAATGTATCAGTTGGACCAAAGGCTCTGTATCTATTGATAAGAGCTTATGTGTGAAAATCATATTTTGAGAAGTTTTTAAGAAAAAGATTTTATACTTAGAAAGTTTTCTTACAAAAGACAGACCAGAGGGGCTCTGGTTGACCTGCGCGGGTTGGACCAGAAGCTCTGGTTGGTCATGTCTTTTGAACCATAAGCTATGGTTAGTACAACCAGAGGCTCTGGTCGAACATGAACTTTCTTTTAATCATTTTAGTTATGGAAAAGCTCTTTCTTTATTTACAAAGTCAAGACAGGGAATATTATGAGGAATTACTTGAGCAAGAGGCTCTAGTTAGTACAACCAGAGGCTCTGGTCGAAGGACCAGAGGCTCTGGTAGAGGAACTAGAGGGGCTCTGGTCCTATTTAGTAAAATATTTCTAAGTATGGTATTTGGAACCAAAGGCCCGATGGATTTAAACAGAATGTGATTTTCTCTCCTGATTTTCAGAATGGTATATTTTAAATAAATGTTTTGGTGATCTTCACCCTGCTTTACACAAAAAGGGATTCTCACTAGACATTTATGTCTAACCCTCATTTTGTGTTTTCAAAATATGTGTGCAGGTAATGATAATAAGGGAAAGAGCATTTTGTGAACTATTTCCCTATGTGCTTAGCTGTATGAAGATCTTAACTAGCCATGTTTTGGAGTTTAGATGTTAAAATACAAGAGCATGTACTTTTGGAATTTTTGAGTTGTATATTTTATAGTATAAGTATCTTGTATTATGGACCTACGTGGGGAAAAATATGTATTCTATAAATATAATATGTGTTATATGCAATGTATGGATTTGAGGTGTTACAGAAACAAACATGAACAGTTCTTGTAGAGCGTTGAAATCTACGTTTAATCACTCTGTAACGCTCGTTATGGCCGATCATCGTCAAAAACATTGCCATTTTCTCTTCTACACTAACATGTCTACTGTCTTTCACCCAATTTCTTTGTCTAAAATGATTGCATAACAGTATATACGCTTCACGTGAGAGGCGCATAAAATCTTGACATTGCGTACTAGGTCCGGTTAATAGCTCTTGGGTGTACGCATATCCGCTCAGTGCCAAAGTATTATCAGACATTCTTTCTATTCTTTCCGAAGCATTTCTTTGCCGTTTTACACACACACACACACATATATATATATATACTAGGACTACGATCATCATTTCTTCCTCAAAAGTCAACATAACTATTCAAATAATAAATCATATTGTAAATCCAAAAAAAAAAACACTATAAATCTAAAAAGAAATGCATAAAATAAACATGTTAATCATAAATCCAAAACTAACACTTATCATAAATCCAAGCCATACATATCATAAATCCATAGCCACATACATATCATTAATTGTCACAAAATACATCATATGTCCAAAAAAACATAGCACCAAATTGTCATTCAAAAAAACTCACAAGTTAGCACACAAAAGTTCTAAAAATGTTATACTTCACAAAAGTTCTAAAAACGTGACACCAATCTTACTGATATCCTTGTTTTGCCCCAACTGTTCTCACTCATTCTTTGGCAATTTCAGACGGTATTGTCATCCAAGCTTCTCTATTACGGTTGTCCGTAAGAAGAGAAAAGGCAATACGATACAACGGATCATCTTTTGCCCACCCAAGCTCGTTCAATTTTTTTAGGCATGACTTATAACTAAAAAGCTCAGGTTTCCCATATTTCGATGCCAAAGTATCTAAAAACTTTATAAGGTTTTCGTCAAGCTCTGAAGTCGTTGCCATAGTCTTTTTACGCTTCTGTTTCTCAATCGGGGCACGAGATGAACAAGGTGTTGAAGACACGGGAGCTTGATCACTTGAGACATTGATCTCTTCCTCGATGACAACAAAAGGCTCGGTAGTTGGCAAAGGGTCTTCTGACGACGGTCCATGGCCTCCAATACCCGTGGACATACCACCCTCAAATAGTCGTGCACACAAGTCGGGATATGGAAGACTTGTAGTCCTTAATGATTCAACATACCTATTGGTCTGTGTTAAAGAAACATTTAAAAATATACAAACAAAATAAAAAAATCGAAATAAAACAAGATCTAAAGTTAGAAAAAGACCTCTATCTCCAATTCCCATTCCTCGAGGATCAAGTTAAACGTGTTTGTTGAAGGATCATAAACATTGCCGGTTTTGTTTCTTAACTTCAACCAAGCACCATATTTTCCTTTAAAGTAAACAAAATGGTTCCGCATTTGCTTTCGATCGACCACAAAGTTATGTGTGCTTTTCAAAGTATCGTCAACTTTCTTCCACGAGAGTGCCTTCAAGCTAGCACCCTCTTTTCCATTCAACCCAACCTCTAGAATACAACTTTCTAAAAAGGTTTTGACAATATTGGGATCCTTCCAACTAATTCTAACCCTTTTTTGTTGTTGGGTTTCACCCGTTTGTTTCATACCTATAACGAACATTCGAGCTATTAATAAACAAAAGACATGATAAACCCAAATTGAACCAACTATTTAACCAACTATTTTAAACACAAATAGCAGCAAAAAATGCAATCAATCAACAGCAACAACAAACACAAAATAGAGCAGTTATGTATTTTCAGAACAAGAAATGAGAACCAAAAAAACGCAAACAGCACCTACGGTAGCAGCAAACACAAAAAAATAAACAACAAATGAGACACCATACAGTAGCTACGGTAGCATAAGGAATGAGACACTATAAGTAGCAAATACCGTAGCAAACATTAACAGGTAAGCAAACAACAAACATTTACAGGTAAGCAAACAACAAATACCGTAAGCAAACAGCAGCAAACAACAAATACCGAAAGCAAACAGCAGCAAACAGCAAATAATTTTCAAACACAGCAACTACGGTAGCAGCAGCAAACATGAAATACACAAGCAAACACACGCTACCGGCAACCGATTAGGGTTCTTTGCAGGAGAAGTATAGTAGTTACCTTTGGAGAAGAAGAGGGTGTCGATCGATGGAGAATAGAGCAATCAACCGATTAGGGTTCTTTGGAGGAGAAGAGGGCCGTCGATCGATGGAGAAGAGATTGTCGATCGATGGAGAAGAGACCTTCGATTAGGGTTCTTTGGATCGATTAGGGTTCTTTGTGCATTCGATGGAGAAGCGACCGTCAATTTTAGGGTGTTTTCTTGAGAGAGGCGCGACAATAATGTAAGGGTAGGGATAGTCTTTTGACTTGGCTTAACCTGGACAACTCAGGTTTTTCATCTGGGTGAATAAGCCCATTTCTGAACGAATAAGCCTGAAAGTCCACTTTATGATCAATCTTCATAAACCATGGGAATCTTCATGATGATCTTGTAAGAACACTATAAGAGGAGATGAGAGGATTTGTCAACAAGTCAAACTTTCATTTATGAACGTATTTTACAATTGAGCTCATACACTAAAATCACTAAGACAAAAAGCTTTATATAGGGTCAAACTACAACCCTTCTAGTCAATGTCAAACTATACATACAAAGTCAAACACGATGACTTTACAATTATAGACAATATTATCTTTCAAGAAGAATACATTTTAATACTGAAATTTAGACCCAACATTCTCCTCCTTTGTATTCAGGCTTGAAAGAATTTACGTATTTTGAATCTTGTTTGAATTTTGTCATTTTAAGCACTTTATGACTTCTTCAAAAACTTCAAAAACAATCTTCATTTTGAGATCTTCATATTATCTTTTGTTGAGAAAATCTTCTAACATTTCCCCCTCGAATGTAGAACAACAACGATCTTCTCTTTGACAATGTAGAACAATATCAGCAATAATCTTCAGAAATGATCTTCAAGATATGATCTTCAAAGAATCTTCTTCAGAAAACAAATTCTAACATTCTTCCCAAAAACAAACTTCTTCAGAAAAAAATTCATAAACTTTCTTCTTCAAAATTAATATTCTCTTCGATGTGAAATTTCTATCAGTAAACTTTTATAAGGATGATCTTCACATTCAAAAACTCTCAGACATTGTAGCACAGGAATAATTTTCAGTAATAATCTCCAGTCACACTCCTTTGAGTCTTTTACCGACCTTCGATGTTACTCCCCCTTGATTTATATCATATTCCCCTTATATCATCCAGAATTGAACATTTCATTCATTATTTCATACTCTCCTTATGATGAAATGAGAATCATTAACATCATACATTATAATGAATGAAATCTTTAGCGAAAGCCATCAATTCATAAAATTGTAAGCAGATCTTTTCAAATCCACTTGTATAATTTTTACAGATTAAGGGAATGGGAAAATAACAACCAATTTCAACTTATAAAATTGTTTTCAATCTTATAAAAAGATTGGCCTGTGAATATAACAGATATATTCAGTACAACTGATGTACTTCATATATGAGACTTTTTAAGGTTCATTTCACCAGGTCTTCCATTCAATCATCGATATCTTATAACAGGTATATCTTGGAATGTTTCAACAAAATAACATATAATTTGCAAAATCTGTGTAGTGTTGAAAAATAAAGCAACATATGCTTCTGTTTAGGCTCAAAAAGATAAATCGTGTGGACTACACAAATTTATCAGACTCAATACGTGATAAAAAAGACTCAATATCCTTCTGTTTCAATATCAACTTTCTCCGAATGAGAAACTGATAGATTGTGAGTTGCGTACCCCAAATGTTATTGAAACACTTATCTGTTAAGAGATAAATGAGTAGCTGGTGAGGTCGTGACAAGAATTGGCCTGAGTTTTGCCTTTTTCAATATTAGTCTCGAAAGAATTGAGAACTAATAGATTATGTGGTATGCCCGGTAATTTGAATTTTGGAACAGGATTCTTATGTTCTTTTAATCCTGACATAACTCTCATCAATTCTTTTGACTCACAGCAACTACCCCTATCTTTTTCATTTTAATCTCAGCACACAAACCTATTTTGAGTTTAAGCTCACTCAAATATGGTTGTCCTCTTGGGTAGGTTTGTCGGTTCTGACATTCTATAGAGGTATTTCTGTGAAGCACTTAGTCCCTCCTAAATTAGCAGTATACTCTGTTGATCACAACAATTGATCAAGATGATATTGCAATGAAACACAATGATCAGATAAAATTTGATCAAGATGTAACTTTTAAAGCACAATCAAACAAGGAGTGATACACAAAAATCAGATTATTTAGTATGCGAGAGAAATGAATGAAGATCTGTAAGAACAAGTTTACATACTCTGATATTCAAAGAATTATAAAATCTGAATTAATCAAAGAAAAGAAATATCAGAAAAACAAAACTTTGATTACAAACGAGCGCATTATCACCGAAAATGATTTTCATTTTAAGAGACGTGATAATAACAGTTTCAAGAATAGCTGAAATAGGTATTGGAATTATGAATGATGAGAAATTACGCAAGTAAAATATCAGGAAATACCTGCTCAAAGAATGTACTCGTTTCCATAAAAACAATTCCATTTTCTGAAAACATTTATTCAAAATTTCTAGAGACTCCCCATAGAAAATAGATTTAAGTAATATTTTGGTTCAGCTCAAAAATTAAAAAAAAATGGAAACATTTTTAGCATGGGTCCTAAACTGTGTTGTTCAGAAGCCACAATTCATTTAAGCACGGGTCCTGAACAGATATATTCAGAAGCCTTAATGTGGACAGTATACAAACTCCCCCTGAATTTGTGTATCATAATCATGTTATTCTGATCAGCGCTGTAATGACGCACCTGCAAAATCAAATCAAACAGATTTTGGTACCCAGACGAACTTGGGTCTTTCTTTGTTATGTGGGATGTTGTAACTTCCAAACCATCTATTCTTGTTAGATGTTTTCTTTTTCGCACTTTTAACAGGATGATCATATCCATACCAGTTATTGTTATCATACCTGTTATTATTCGTCTAGCTCTTCTGAAATCTTTTGTCTCCAATCCAGCTGTTGTACCTTTTCCTCTTCACAAAATCAGTTTTCTTGCATGTGGAGCACATGATCATTCTCTTGCTAAGATTTATCAAATCATTAGTGGATCTTACAAAACAAGGAAGAAGATTGTTAGTAACAATAGAGTTTTGAGACGAAACAGATTCAGATTTATTAACCCAAACACTTTTAACTTTAGAAGAGTAATTGGATGATCCGATGACATACCCTTGATAGTACTGATTTAAAGAACGAGAATAGTTCTTAGAAACAGTTGATTTAGGACTGCTAGAATAACTGTTAGATTTAGAACATTCATAAAAGTTGGTTTTACACTGTGAAGGAGAACTAGTTGAGCTTTGAGCACAAGAAAAATCTTTAATTTTGTTTAAAAGCTGGTCTCATTCATTAGCAACTAAATCATACTTCTCTTTGAGTTCAGTTCTCATTTTCAGTTCAATTTCAAGTTATGTCTTCAGATCAGACAATTTCTTAGAAGTATCCAGGAGTTTACCTTCTAACTTCTTCTTCAGCTTCTCAAATTTCTTCTTCTCATTATCAAACTCTCTTCTCTCTTCATCTGAGCTGCTTTTTTCATTCTCAAAAGCAATGTCGAGCCATTTTTAATTTTCTGCAAGTTCTTTGGCCATAGCTGCATATTTCTTTGCAGTATTTCTCTTTTCAAGAGCAAACAACTTTTTCTCTTCGTCCAAAGCCTTCTGCTTTTTATCAATGCAGTCAGATAGTTCCTGATTCTGGCTCAGACATTCTTCTCTGATCTCTTTCTTCTCTTTATCAATCTTGGCTCGTTCCAAGATGGTTAGCTGCTCAAAATCCGAGATCTGATTCAATAGCATTTTAACGTTCAGCTCTAGAGAGTTAATCTTATTTTCGTAAGATACGCGTTCAATACCAAATCTTTTCTCTACTTTAAGAATCCTTTTATTCTCTTTCTCAAATTCGTTCCTTTCAGTATTCATAATCTTCTCAGCTTCTAGAACTTTTCTCTGTTCTAATTCCAGTCACGTTCAAACTTATGAAGTTTCTCAGTGAAGTCCTCTGTCTCTGTATTATTCCTCCAAGAAGAGTTTCTCTCATTATTCAGTTCATTTTGAACTTTTTGGAGTTTATTAAATTAGTCTTTATTTGACTTGCTCCACGTTTTTAACTCTTCATCACACTCTTTTCTTACAGAATTCAGAGTGTTCTCAAACTTTTCAATTGTATGAAAAAATTCTCCTTCAACATTTTCTCTCATTTGTGTATTCTCTCTTCTTAAGTCTTTAATTAAATCCTCATTAAGAAAATTCTCACGAAACATAATGACATATTTTTCTTTGTACTCAAACAAACTTTCCTCTAGTTTAGAAATCTTCTCTTTTAATTCCCTGTTCTTCTTCTCAAGATAAACTGCCATTTCAAAATCAACGATTGATCAAAGAATCTAATGTAAAGTGAAATCAGTCAAAGAAATCAAAAATCCAACAAAATCTTTCAGATTTAATCTAAGCTCAAATCTTAGAAAAGATCCAAAACTATTCAAAAAACAGAAAATCAACGAAAACAGTTACAACTCAGTAAAAAACAGTCAAAAACTGTTAAAAACTGTTAAAAACAGTCAGAAACAGTTAAAACTGATTAAAAACAGTTTACATGACACAAATCAGTTCAGAATACTCAAAACAGTTCAAATCAGTTCAAAACAAATCAAAAACCGATAAAATCCTCAAAATCCGGTAAATTGGTAAAAAAAAACAGATAAAACTTGAAATCCAAATAAAATGTGATCCAAAAAAAAAACTAGAAAAAAATAGTGTTAAAAAAATTGATTTTATCACAGTGGGCTATTAATATGGAATGGGCTTGGTAATTAAAAGGCCCAAGATGGATCAAGCTTTGAACAAATAACTCTCAAATACGGTCAATTATGTGTGAGGAGCAGTACTTGGCCGATAAATCTCAAGAC